CTGGCATTCGTGGCCACTTGCACAACCACTGCCAGCAGAGACTTTTCATCAGGAACCCGTGTTCTCCTCGGCTGGGTCTCTGCTCCACTTTGGTTCCTGAAGTGATCTGAAGGTTCTTCCCCTTCCCTCATTGCAGTGATAAGAGACCACGGGGCTCTGCAAGGGCTGGGGGCAGCAGGGGGACAAGTCCAGTGCAAAGCACAGTGTCCCCCTTTCCCTTCCAGCCAGCTCACCAAAACACACCTCAGTCCTGCTCACCTCTCTGCTGTCTCCCAGTGGAGATGACAATTGTGCCAAACTTTATGGTTTTATGATACAGAAAACTGTTTACTAGAAAATAGGTGGCAACTTGTGGCTTAAAATGCATTTGATTCCAGGTGTACCGAGGTGGGCAACACCCCTGGGCACCGTCCTGTTCCATCAACCCATTCTAAGTGTACTTCAGGTATTTTTAAGCATCCTTATTTTGTAAACCTTAATTTATAATCTGAACTGATTAAGCAAGACTTTTGCCCTTTACAGTGCTATTGTCTCGAAGCTGAGAGTAGCAAGGGATGTGAAGGGAACATCAGGCAGGGCTGAGAGGGGCTTGTTCATGTCTGAGGGTTTCAGCTGTGTATCTGCACGACCTTGAGTCAAGAGTTTGTTCTTCCATTTGTTTGAAGGATCTTTGCTTTTGGGCTTGTAATTGCTTTGCCAGCTCCTTGAATGTAGTTTTTTTTATATTTATTTGCACATTCAAGTAAAATAAAATATTGATTTTAAAAGTCTGCAGCTCTCACTGTTTTACGTTTCTTTTCAACTAATTTAGATTTTGTGACAACCCCCAGAATTGGTTGTCTTTGACCTGAAACTGGGTTTTAAATGGTAGAAAAATGCAATGGAAAGGTTGAAGTTCCTGCACAGGCTGCAGGATGTGCTGATGCAGGAGTGTGTCAGCAAGTGCTGTGTGGGGGTGTGAGCAGCAGCCTGACTGAAAAGGGAAATCCATTTCCTGCAAGCAGAGATCCCACACATGAGCTGGGGCTGCGCTCACGTGGGAGCTGCCAAAATCTCTCCTGGAGCTGAGGCCGTGGCTGGAGCAGGGAGGCCAGGGGGTGGCACAGTTGCTCCACCAGAGAGGTCTCAAAAGCAAACCTGGGCAGGGCTGGAGCTGTGCCAGGGCTTGGCATGGAGCTCAGGGAAAGGTTCTTCCCCCCGAGGGTGCTGGGCACTGCCCAGGCTCCCCAGGGAATGGTCCCGGCCCCAAGGCTGCCAGAGCTCCAGGAGCGTTTGGACAGCGCTCTCAGGGATGCTCAGGGTGGGATTGTTGGGGGGTCTGTGCAGGGACAGGGGCTGGATTTGATCCTTGTGGGTCCCTTGCAGCTCTGGAATTGTGTCACTGCCAGGCAGGGACTTCTCGCAGCCTGGGTCCTTCCTGGCAGCACCTTTGGCAGAGGTGAGTGAGGCACAGCCCAGGCCTGGCCGCAGGAATCCCACCCTGAACACAGCCAGGGCTCAGGAGAACGGGCTCATTCCAGCTCCCAGCCCCACCAGCACATCTGCTACAGGTTAACACAGCACAACTGCAACCATGCAAATAACCCTCCACCCGCCTTTCCCTCAGCCTCCCCAAATTCCTGGGTAATAACATGTTTAACTGTGTTCCCTGTGAGCTCTGCACGACAAATGAATGAGTGGATTTTGCAAATTAAGCCGTAGTGATGTGACCCAGAGCTGATAGGAGTTTCCTTGACATCATCCCCAACACTTCCGTTGCCATAACAAAAGGCAGCTCTGCTCTCTGTGCAGCCCCCTGCTCCCTCACAGGCAAACAAACTGTTCTTCTCCCAATAACAATCCTCTGGTGCCTTGATTGCGTGGAATAATTTGATTAAAATGGTGGTGGGGGGGGTCTCAGAGGACACAGCCCACTTTGCACAAGTCTTCTCTTGGCCCTCTCACAAAGGGGATGTTCCCTGCACTTGAGGGGAGGGACAGCCAGATGTGACATGAGAGCACTTGGAGATGTCAGCCAGTGGACAGCTCTGGCAACAGCAAACAGCTAAAACACATCCTTCAGGTTTGCAGGATGGAATAGGTATAGATGGTTTGCACAATTAAACTCAAGAGTTGCTGAAGTACCTGAGTTCAGTATTTAACATTCCAAGACTTTTAAAACATGATTCCACATCACAGGGATGCACTGGGAGAGTTGGGGCTATGAACCAGTGAGAGAATCTAGAACTGTGTGTGCAAACATAAATTGAGGTTTTCTGCATGTTTTAGCCGTTGGTCTGGACTAGAACCAACTGGTTCAATTTAAAGATTGAATTAAAGTCTAGCAACTCCTAGCCTGTGCTAAAAAATGAATTCGAAGAATTTTGATGCTGAAAAGGAATGACAAGGATGATAATGATGATGATGATGATGATGGTGATGATGATGATGATGATGATGATGATGATGATGATGATGATGATGATGATGATGATGATGGCTGTGTCAGACCAGGTACCCCCACCCCAGCATCACTATCTTGCTGAGAAAGGCCCCCAAAAATCTATTCCAGAACACTAAGTTGTAGGGGTGTTAATAAACTTCAGATATTCCTGGAAAACGTCTTCATGTGGACTTTAATGGTGTGAAGTGAAAACTGCCAGTGAGCAGAAGAGCAGTTCTGAAAAACTTCCCTCAGGAAAATCTCCCTCTGAAAAGCCTCCCTCAGGAAAATCTCCCTCTGAAAACCCTCAGGAGTGTTGCAGCAGCATGAGCTGAGGAGAATGTATGGGATCATCCAGGGAAGGGATTGAGGGGATCCCAGAGGAGCAGGAGAGCTGTGGGACAAGCAGGAGGGAGAGGAGGGGATTCCCTGGAGCCATGGAGGATCTCAGACTGGCCCAGGGAGAAGGAGGGGACGTGACAGTGTCCGAGGTTTGAAGAGAGCTCCGAGCTGCTGCTCAGGAACCCTCTGGAATGGAGCAGCAGCAGTGAATCCCATCCTTGACCCACCACAGTTTGCTCTTCCAAGCCTCCAAGATGTATGGGACAGGCCAGGTGGTGTCTGTACCCTCCCTCTGAGCTCTGAAATCCCCAGCCTGATCTTTTTTGAGTTCAGAGCCACGGAATAAAAGAGCCCCTGCTCCCGGGAGATGATCTATTGCACAATGAATTACTTTAAAACCAAATTGTTACCCCACAGGGCAAGGATCACACGACTTAAAGAGATGTTAACAAGCCGTGACAAACCTTTGGCATTAGAGTTTTCAGGCAAGCTGTTCTGCATCTAAGGCAGTCACTAAAGATCACACAGCATCTGAAAAATGAAGGATACAGCGATGAGTAACCCCTCTCTGCTCCACTCCAGAGACCTGCCCATAGGAAGCAGGGCTGTGATTTGCACACTGTCTGAACCTGATTATGGCTAATTTTTTGCATACAGAGCATGGAAAGGATCCTGGCTGAGGCATGGAAAATATGTGGCCACATGAGTCATTCTGTAATGGTTCATAAATCCTGAGAGAATCACAAAAGCAAAACATCTAACATTGCATCTTCCCCTCCCTGCCAGTGCAACTCCACCTCTTGACACGCTCGGCACAAGGATGTGGGAATATGGTGAAAGCAAAGGAAATAGGATCATTTTCTCCTTGGAATAGAAGAATCTCATCAAACAGCAGCCAGGCTCAGATTTGCAACCTTCACAGAAGAGGCCATTCATGAGGCGAGGAGAAAGAAACGAGCTGCTCCTCAGGTTGCCAAACCAAATTTACAGTTCCTACTGCCTGGGCTCCAGCTCCTGTCCTTCCTCCCCTGCAGAGCCAGGCAGGGAGTGCAGAGAACAGCCCAAAACCCCAAAGCCCAGCACCCTCTCCAGCCATGAGCTCCTGTGTACATGATGGCCAGGGCCACACTGGGGCTCTGACACAGGAGGTGGGAGAGGATTTGGGAGCTTCCCAGAGCTGCTGTGCAGAGCAGAGCACAGAAGGAACCTGCCCTGGGGGTTAGAGCTGGGGGGAACAGGCAGTAAAAGATCTTAAGGCTCAGTTAAGCTCTGCCAGTCCCTGTTCCAGCGTTATCTGAGTTGTCCTCTGGGCACAACCAGCAGCTCCATGTGCTGCTCCGAGTTCTTATCCCAGGCAGAGTGGGGATTGTGCAGGGTGGGACTGCTCAGCTCTGGGAAAAGGCAGCTTTTTGTGGGGCAGGAGTGGCTGGAGCTCCCCATTATCTCCCCAAGAGCAGGGATTTCCTGTGTGCCCTTTGCAGGCCCCTTTCCTGCTGCATGGAGCTGCTCCCCCTGTCCCAGAGGTTTATCAGAGGAAGCAAAGTGTGTCCTCTCCTTGGTGTGCCATGGTGCTCCTGCTGCTGCTGTCAAGTGCAAAGAGCTCCAACCCAGAGGACTTTTAACCATCCTCTGCAGTGACATCAGGAAGGTGCTTGGTGCTGTTTTAGCCAGGAAGCAGGAGCAGGGATAAAAGGGAACTCTGAAGGGCCCAGCCTGATCTGGAGGCTGCAAGGCTGACACTAAAACCCTTCCATTGCCAGAACATGAGTCTGCAAGAGCCCCATGTAATCACTGGGAGATCTGTGTGGCCTGCAGCTCTGGTATCTGGGATATCTCCCTGTTTGTAGTACCAGAAAATGCGACTCAGGCTTTAGAAAAAGACCTGAGCTCACCCACAGAGGCACTCAGGTCTCTGTAGTGGGAGGATGCTCAGCATTTCCATGGGCAGAGGTGCGTGGGTTCTGTTTATGTGCAGACTGCATCAAACCCGACCATGTTTGTTATTTCCAGGAATATTCCAGAGCAGGAAGGAGACCCAGATGAGTCACTGGAGCCATCATCTCACGCTAAGGACGAAGTGCAGCCCTGAAACACTTTGGGTCTGGATAAAGAAGCCCCTCCCAGTCCCACGCTCTGACGCTGGGGATGTCCAAGCTGTGGTCACAGCCCCTCCATTCCCTCATCCTGCCCAGGATCAGCCCCGTTCCTTCCGAGAGTTAAGGGCCAGCAGGAGGAAATGTGTAAGCAGGGTTCCTGCTGCTCCCACACAGCTCTGGCACTGAGGTGTGGCAGCAGCCCCTGCAGTGCCATGGGCACCCTGGGCAGCAGGAGGCTCCTGCTCTGCTGTGCCCTCTGGGGACTCTGCCTGGCCTCGGACTACGATGGTGAGTGTGAGCCTTTGGTGCAAAGCTGCTGCTTGTTAAAGCGCTGGGTATTTGGGACCTTTGTAAGATCCCTGAAAACTCATTTTTTTAATGAGTTCACATGGGAGGATGCTCTGATAGAGCTTTGTGCGGGCTCTTGTTGAAGCAGGAGGTTGACAGAGGTGATACAGTGGAGAAAGAAGCTGGGGTGGAAAAAATTAGAAAGAGAAAGGAAAAATAGAGGAGCAGTAAACTAGAAAGGACTTGAAAGCTAAATCTTTAGCTAATTATACTCCCAGAACCACAACTTTACACTGGAGTGGCTCCAGACCTTTGGATTGTTGTGAAAGCCTGGCAGAGGAATTGTCCTCTGGATTCCCAGGCCTGTTCATGGCTGTACAGAGGAATTGTTTTCTGGATTGCCAGGCCTGTTGATGGCTGTACAGAAGAATTGTCCTCTGGATTCCCAGGCCTGTTCATGGCTGTACAGAGGAATTGTCCTCTGGATTCCTTGGCCTGTTCATGGCTGTACAGAGGAATTGTCCTCTGTATTGCCAGGCCTGTTGATGGCTGTACAGAAGAATTGTCCTCTGGATTCCCAGGCCTGTTCATGGCTGTACAGAGGAATTGTTTTCTGGATTGCCAGGCCTGCTGATGGCTGTAGAACATCACAGTCCATTGTGAGCTGTGGGAAATCGCAGGGCAAAGGAATTGGAGACGTTCTCAGAAAGGTGGCTGAGGGTGGCTCCTGCACACCTGACTCTGCCAGCAGCTTTTTCTGCCCATCACACACAGCAGCCTTTGCAGAGCACTCCCAGTTGCAGGGACCCCAGCAGAAAAGATAAAGAGCAGCCTTTGGGCTGAGCTGTGTGCAGCCTGCCCTGCTGAGTGAGTAACACGCTGCCTTCCTCTCCCAGATTACTCTCAGAACAGCACCAGCGAGCAGGCCAGCACACCGGAGGCCACCCCGTGTCCCCGAGCCATCCCTGGGGACCAGGCCACGGTCAACAATGTCACCTACCTGCTGATCCCCGAGGCCACGCGTGCCCAGCTGGGCAGCGCCGTCACGGTCCGGCTCATCCCGTGCCTTTACAGCCTGGTGTTCCTGCTGGGGCTGCCGGCCAACGCGCTGGCCCTGTGGGTGCTGGCCACCCGGGCCGAGCGCCACACCTCCACCGTGTTCCTGATGAACCTGGCGGCCGCCGACCTGCTGCTCACCTGCGTGCTGCCCTTCAAGATCGCCTACTATTTCCTGGGCAACCACTGGCCCTTCGGGGAAGGGCTGTGCCGCCTGACCACGGCTCTGTTCTACGGGAACATGTACTGCTCCGTGCTGCTGCTCACCTGCATCAGCGTGGATCGCTACCTGGCCGTGGCTCACCCTTTCTCCTCCCGTGCTTTCCGCACGCCCTCGCTGGCCGCGGGTGCCTGCGCCGCCGTCTGGCTCAGCGCCGCCGCGCTGACGCTGCCGCTGGCCGTGCAGCAGCAGTCGTACCCGCTGCTCGGGGCAGGCCTCACCGTGTGCCACGACGTGCTGCCCAGGCACGAGGACGACGGCTTCTACTTCCATTACTTCGTGGCTCTGATCGCCTGCGCCTTCCTGCTGCCGCTGGCGCTGCTGGTGCTGAGCTCGGGCGCGGTGCTGCGCGTCCTCCTGCGCGGGGGCAGCCGCTACAGCCACGCTGCCAAGCTCACGGCCCTCGTGGTCGTCACCCTCGTGGTGTTCTGTGCCCCCAGCAACATCCTGCTGCTGCTCCACTACTCCAGGCCCTGCTCGCGGCTGCACGGCCGCCTGTACCTCAGCTACATGGTCAGCCTGGCCCTCAGCACCTGCAACAGCTGCGCCGACCCCTTCGTCTACTACTACGTGTCGGAGGATTTCCGGGAGAAGGTGAAGGGGAGACTCTTCAAGGGCAGCAAAAAAAACGCCGCGTCCCTAAAGACCTCCAAGGAAACGCTGCCCCGCTCCAAACATTCTCTGGTGTGAGGCTCCAGCGCGGCTCGCTGCTCCCAGGGCACTCCCGGTGCACGCAGAGCGGGTACGGTGAATTCAACACTGGAATTCCACAAGTTTCACCCAGAGCAGCGTTTCCCAGGAGCCAAGAGCTTTTCCCTGCCTGCACAGATGAGGCTGGATGAACCCAGGCTGTGGGATTCTTTGCCCAGACAAGCTGCTGGGTGCTGGACACATCCATCCTTTACTGGGACACTGCCTGCAGCTTCTCAGCTGCTCACACAGCACCAGGGATGTTCCTCCCCATACAGCCGGGTCTGCTGCTCCTAACCTGGCTGCTCTCTGCCTGCTAATCCTGCTCCTGGCTTGCTCACTGTCCTTGAATGCATATTCCCATCCCCTAAAACTGAAAAAGAGTTATCATTGCAAAACCAAATTACTGAATGTTTCAAAAGATACTCTCCTAAACTAAACCAGTCTGTCAAAAGAGTGCAGAGCACTGGCTTGTGTAGCAAAATCATTTTTGGCTTGATTTGTAAGCAACTCCTCAGTAATGACAGCCCACAGTTGGTAAAAGGTGTAAAAATCCTATTCACTCATCCCTGTTTTTGCAAATAACTCTTGGCATCCATAATTTCTTTGAGGCAAAGGTTGTATTAATGGATTTTTGTAAAAAAAAAAAAAAAAAAAAAAAAAAAAAAAGACGTCTCATGAAGTGAAATAGTAAAGTAGGAGTGGAGCAAACTGGTACTCCACACTCTCTTTGTGTAATGTCACCCACGGCCAAAAGCTGTCTCTGATCAAAGAGGTGCTCAGGTTTGTTGCTGCAAATCTGACAAAAAGCAGCCAGCTCATCCCTCAGACACAACTGGGGCACAGCCCTGTGAGCAGCCAGGTAGAAAATGAGCAATAAACCTCTTTAGAGCTCCTTAATTCTTCAGTTTTCCCAGCACAGGCTCGACAGCCTAAAGCGTGAATAAGAGGCAGAGATGATTGTCTTAAAATCAGTTTTTAATAAAATATTTATCAGAATCTAAAACAAACACTTTTCTGGACTCAGACTTGCTAAGATGTGTGTGAACAAACCAACAACTGGTCAGAGAGCTGTTTGTGTGTACCTGTGTGTGGGGGGCAAAAGGGAAACACAAAGCTGGGCTCGGGGTGCTGGGCACTCAGTCAGAAACAGCAGGGACTAAAAAAACCCCAAACCCAGGCTGGTAGAGGTTTTCTAAATAGTTTCTCTATTCACAATAATGAAAACCAGGTTATTGTGCATTAAATGTCAACAGTCAGTGTGAGCAAAGCAAGTGCTGGTGTGTCAGGGAAGTTCTTCAAGCAAGCTGAACATTCTTCTGGTATTTGCTTTCTACTGAGGCTGATTAAGAAGGAGGGAAGGAGGCAAGACCAAAACACAGGACAAGAAAGAACAAGGGGAACTATTGCTTTAAAATAAATACCATGGTAATGATTACTCTGCATAATGTACAGTTACAAATATATAAATATTAATTTCCTCGGAAGGATTGCAAGCATCAATCACTGATAAGTAGCACTGCTGCAGCTATTCAGTCACAGAACTCGATGGAAGAAGCAATTTCTGTGTCTTACAAAACCACTGGCACTTTTCTCCTCTTGCAGTGAGGGACCATCAGGAAAAGGAAAGGAGAAGCATCTCTTTGACAGAGGGAGGCAAAAGTCTCTAAGCCAGAAAAAACCCAAAGCAGCAGTAGCTGCTGCTGGCCTTGCTGCCTTTGGCTTTCCAGCATCCAGCTGGTCATTTCCTCGGTGGAAAAAAAAAAAATAAAATCAATCCTCTCTAAACTGACTGGCTGAGGTGCACAAAGTGGGAGCCTGAGATGTCCTTGTGCTCTCAGGGACAGGAGGGACTGAGCAGCTTCAGGGCCAGAACTGGGCCAAAGCCTGAGAATGGCTTTGAGTGTGTGCAGCTGGGCTGTGTCCAGGGGTGCTCAGGGACCCAGTCCTAAAGTCTCTGTATTCCAAGCAGGATGTGGAAGAATGGAGGAAAAATAATCTATGCTTTTTTTTTTCCCCTAAATAAAAATTAATGATGTTTACAAGAAACATGAACAGCAAAGGTGGGACAGGGGAAAGCTCTGGACCCTCAGCCAGGGTGGAGCAGAGAGCAGAGATCTCCTTTATTCCTGTGGGGGAATAAAGGAATAATTATGGGGGAAAAGGCAACCACAGTGGGGTAACTGCAGGTTCCTTGATTCAATTCTTTAAATAAAAATCACCTTTTTTTCTTTTTAGCTACAAAGAGGAGCTAGTTTGGTGTAGCAGGAGCAGGGGCAGGCAGAGGCTGCCAAGGCTGGGCAGAAGCACTGGGGGTGAATTCAGGATCCAGAAATCCTGTCCCCTCCCCTCCCACACACTGCCCTGCTCTGGCTGCCTCTGAGGACATTCAGGCTGCTCTGCCTTTGCCTTCTGAGGGTCCAGGGCTCTCTGGCTTTACTTTGAATTGTAAAACAGAAGTCAGACTCCTCTGCCTCAAGCCCTGGCACAGAGACCCCTCAGACAAGGCCCTGATTGATGGGCTGGCACCACCAGCAGGAATTATTTACCTGGCAGCAACAGGGGCATGTCTGCATCTGGAACTGGGACATTACATGTGCCAGAGCCTGAGGAAAGTGAAGAAAGCCAGGTTTAATTCCTGGCTGGAACTCCCCAGCCTCACCTCCTCATCCCCAGGGGGAGGTCTGAGTGCCCAAGGATCTGTGAGAGGACCAAGCAATTCAAAAGGACTTCAAATTTCTGTCCAGAAGCGTTCACTGGGTGTACAGTGGGTGAGAGAGAGCAGGAAAGGAAAACCAGAAAGAGACTGAGGAATCCAGAACACAGGTCCCAGCTCCTGGATGAAGCCAGTGACAGACACCACAGGGTGACCAAAAGCCTCATTCCCCCAACTCACAGCCCTGAACAGCTGCAGCCTGAACCAGCAAACAGCACGGTTTGTATTGTGCAGTTCTGAGTTTTAGAAAAGGAAAAAAAAGGAAAAAAAAAAAAGAAATCTTGTTGCAGCTCACACTAGGCCTGTTATTTACCCAGGGATAAATATTGACTCAGTCCTGTGTGTGTACACAATAGCCAGTGCCTGCCAGGACAGTTGCTTACAGGAGGTGGAATTTAGTTTAAAAGCATTTATTTACCTGCCAGGCAGGAATGCAGCTGCCAGGGTGAGGGCAGGGTCTGGCCCTGCACACCCCAGACATGGGGCAGAACCCTCAGGATCCTGGGAGCAGCCACGAGGGAAGGCTGGCAAAGCTGCCAGCCAGGCAGCTCCAAAATTTCTGGGAATTTCAAGACGCAGACCTTCATCATGTCAACTGCACTCTGCAAATGTCTGGCCCCAGACAAAAAGGACTGGAAACTACACATGGCCAACCTCTGGGACACCTCCTGGTTGTCCCCATGTGGACATTTTTCTGGAAAAAAACTTGCCTTTATTCTGGAATGGAATGTCTATACTGGGATATATTCTTGTCATGGTTCCTGTGTAAACAAGCCTTAAAAATGAATGGAGCTGGGCTTTTTTTTTTCCATTTCCATTCACCAATAAACACCCTCAAAAGGAGTTTCCACCCTGCTCTGGGTCCTGGTAACAATAGAAGTGGGAAGATAAAATATTAACACTATTTTGCAAGAGGCAATTGCATGTAACTCCTCCAAAGAGAACAATGCTGCTCCAGGCAGGAAGGGAAACTCAAAAATCTTGGCTCCTGCACTTTTGGAAAGACAAAGCTTTTCTTTTTAAGTTTTGCCACGTTGCTTGGGGCAGGTCAGACCCAGGGAGTCCAGCCTGTGACACCAGGGATTGGTGCTGGCCAGCAGAGCCAGGGCCTGGGCAAGGAACACCAGGACCAGAACATGCTGTGCTGGATGCCAGTGGGAGCAAAATAAGAGGGGTTGGTGAAGTCAGGCAAACATTTAAAAGGGCTGTGCCTCGGCCAGGTTCATTTTCAAGCCAGACTTTGAGGAGGAAAGAGGCTGAGAAGGCTGCAAGCAGCCCCTGTCAGCACTTAGTGCAACACAAAGAGGGCTCCCCCACCTCATCCCTGCCTCTGCTGGGGCTGCAAACGCCCACCTGAGGCCAGCACACAGCAGCAGACACGGAGCCTTTCAGCCCTGGCAGTGGATTGGAGTTTTCTCAGGTAAAATGTACCTCCCAACAACTTCCCTGAACTGTGGAGCCCCAGGGAAGTGTTTCTCTCATGGGTGCAGCAGACTGATGGGCTGGGGAAGATGAGTAGCCTCTTGCTGTGTCATAATTGGCAAAACACGCTGATTTTTATTATTATGATTTGAGCAAAATAACTTCTCAGCCATGTTTCCTCAAACAGCAGTTCAGCTAAGCACAAGGCCTGGACTTAGCTTCTAAGTGTAGCTAGGAAATGGCATTTGCAGAATATCCTGATAGCAGAGAAAACATTTGGAAATGCTCTATAGGTTTGAATTCCAGCCCCTATTTTTCTCACCTAGAGGGCACAGCTTATTGGTCTCTCATCACTGGAAGGGCTCCAAAGAGGATGCACAGAAGGCAGGAAAATGGACAGAAAAATAACTCTGAGTGTCCCCCTTAGAGCTCCAGATCTGCCCCGAGGGGCAGCAAAGCCAACAGTTCTGAGGGCATCAGGAAGTAGTCATCATTGGGATTCTGTTCTGCAGCAGGTCGTCTGGAGGAACAAACTCATACAGGAGTCGATTCTGAGCCTCTTCTCTTTATTTAAATTATGGATTTCTGTCAGAAAGAGAACACAAGGAAGAAAAGTCACCTTGCTGTGATGCAGCTCTGTAAGACTTCACTGAGCCTGGGCAGGGAAAAGCTGAGAAGGTCACAGAGCTGGAAGGGACCCTCAGGGATGATGAGTGCAGCCCCTGTCCCTGCACAGACCCCCCAACAATCCCACCCTGAGCATCCCTGAGAGCGCTGTCCAAACGCTCCTGGAGCTCTGGCAGCCTTGGGGCCGGGACCATTCCCTGGGGAGCCTGGGCAGTGCCCAGCACCCTCGGGGGGAAGAACCTTTCCCTGAGCTCCATGCCAAGCCCTGGCACAGCTCCAGCCCTTCCTGGGCTCCTGGCCCTGGCCCAGAGCAGAGATCTGTGCCCATTCCTCCTCTCCCCATCACAAGATTGATGAGAAGGAGCCTCCAGCTGAGCACACCCAGTGAAAGGTCCCCTCATCCCACTGGGGTGAAACCACTGAGGTCACTGAGCCTTTTACAGCTGCCCCAGCAAGATCCCATGCCCTGACCCCTAAAGAGCTGGGAAAACACCCCTGACCCAGCACAAGGATGCCCCGGGCTGGCTCAGAGCACAGCCCTGACCCTCTGTGCTCTCACCATTCTGCTGGGGTGGCCTCTCCCTGGCTGCTGTCCCCTCCCTGGAGAGTCCTGGCCGTGCTCAGCTCTGCCACCACCTCGAACACGTCGGCATCCACGGCGAAGGCGTCGGGGTCGTACTCGTAGGAGTAATAGGACAGGTCTGTGTGCAGGGGGGGCCCCTCCTCGGCTGCCGGGGGAACCAGAGCTGCAGGAGCTGCACCCCAGCACCACACAGGGCAGGGCAGGGCAGGAGAAGGAAGGGTTTAGTCAGAGACAAGGGAAGGAGGCTGCAGGTGTCAGGATTTTGGTCACAGACACAGGGAAGGAGGCTGCAGGTGACAGGATTTTGGTCACAGACAGGAGAAAAGGAGGCTGCAGGTGACAGGATTTTGGTCACAGACAAGGGAAGGGGGCTGCAGGTGACAGGATTTTGGTCACAGACAAGGGAAGGGGGCTGCAGGTGACAGGATTTTGGTCACAGACAAGGGAAGGGGGCTGCAGGTGTCTGCTGACCTGCAGGTGCTTGCTGGCATTCATAGGGGAGGGGAGAAGCTGCTGCCAAAGCAGTTTGCAATTTCCCAGTCTGAGACCTGGGCACTGGAATAAAATGAAAGGAAAGAGGGGGAACAAAGAGAGGGGTAAAGGGGAAACAAGGAGGAAAAGGGAAAACAAGGGGGGAAGGCAAATAAGGGTGGGAAAAGGAGGAAACAAGGAGGGGAAATGAGAAAATAAAGGGGGAAAGAAGAAGAAACAAGGGGAAAAAGGGATATAAAAGGAGGGAAAGGGCAATGTAGTCTGAAAAAATCTCCAAGTCTCCTTTTCCAGCATGGAATTAACTGAGGTGCTGAAGTTCAGACCCATCACCCTGAGGGCTGCACACAGTGAGATAAAAGTGCCATGCAGAGGGCAGATGGCACAGGGGATTCACTCTGCACCCTGAAAATCTCTCCTGTCACCAGGCACCTCAGGTAAGGAGAGCCCCATCCACACAGGGACATGTTCTGTGTGCTCTCAGCTGTGCAGCATTTCATAAAACCAGTGACAAAGCTGGAGGGAACAGCTGGCTTGGTGACTGAGCAGTGCAGGCTTTCTTTCCAGCCCAACAAGTGTGAGGATTTCAAGGCCAGGAAGCCACAGCAAAGCCACTGACTCAGCCTGAATGAGGAACTGAGGCACCTCTGCCCCAGCACAGTCACACAGCACTGAAACTTCCATCCCCTCGTGTAGGGACAGTCCCAGCACAGGCAGGAGCAGAATTTCTCCTCTTCCCACTCCCCCCAGTCTGTGCTGGCCCTGGCAGGTCCCTCTCACAGCACACACCCCACTCACACCAGGCTGTGCTGGGTGACTGCTCCTGTCCAGAGGGTAAAGCTGCAAGATCAGACTTCTAGGAATGGCAGAGATCTGTGTTTCCTGAACTGCCCCTGGAGCCAGCTCAGCTGTCCATCCTTCCTGCTTGCTCTCTGTGTACACTGCTCTAATCCAAACCAAAGCAAGCACTGAGGCAGAATTATTGCAGGGAGGAAAAGCTCCCCCCCACCCAAAGCTGGCTGGATTTAAAGAGAACACTCATCAAGGCCTTTGAAAATGTTTGTTCTCTAGAAATAAAATATCTGAAGGATCTTCCCTGTTGCCTCCCACATCCTCCCAGCACTGGGCAGGGGAGTCAGGCTCTGTTCACTCCTTCTTGGCCTCCTCCCTGTGAGAACCTGCCAGACCATGAGCTCTTCTATGAATGGGTGATTGCTGTCCACCAGGGATGGGATGAACATCACAGAGCTGACTCTTCCCAGGAATTCAGTGCTGGAGTCCAAGCAAAGAGCACAGGCCGACGTTTCCTCTGCACACAAACCACTCCCCCAGCCCCAAATGTTTGTGCCGGGGCCAATGTTTGCTGAGCAGTGATGGGGGCAGAGGAAAAACAGCCCTGTGCCAGTTCAATCAATCCTGAAAGAGCTGCAGCCCTGTGGGGAACACTCCAGCCAGGGAAATTTTGGGGATGACTCCACCTGGAAGCAGAGCTCAGGCTGATGCTCCTGGTAGGAGCTGGTGAGGGTGATGGCATTTAATTAAAAAAACAAACAAACAAGAACAAAAAACCAAGCAAAACACCACCACCAAACAAAAGTGTCATAATTCCACCTAGAATTTTGTTCCAGTTCCAGCCATTAACCTTTCTAATTACTAAAACAAGACTGTGTAAAGGACACGGCTGTGGGGAGAAGGCAGGGCCAGAGACCCGAGCCTGGGGGGGCTCCCTGCTCACAGCAGCACTGGGACCCCCAGCACTGCTGCCCCACACTCTGGGCATTGTTTTCCACCAGAGCCCTGCAGAATCACAGCACTGTGATGTCAGAATATTGTCCTCCAACATCAGTGCCTGGGCAGTGGCTGTACCTTGAGTGCCTTTGGCAGTGGAGATTTAGGCACTTTCAGAAGAGAATTAATGATCTCTGGAAGCAATCAAAGCACCACTTCACCAGAGAGATGCTATCACAGCTACTGGGCATCCCACAGGCTCCAAAATCCACCCAGGTCCTTGTGGCCAAGGAGTGACAAGGATCTCAGCAAAGCCACAGTCAGAAATTCAGGGAGATTCCAGTTAGTAACTCAGCTCCTGCTCCAGGGCTTTCTATCCAAACAAATATTGCAGCAGGCTGTGAAGGCACACGAGCACACCCAGGAAAATCCTGTTCCACCCTTTTGAGACTCAGCAATTCACCTGTGAGAAGGAACAGCTGAGGAGGGGGATTCACACAGGAGTTATTTCAGCTGAGTCCTGTCACCCTGCAAGCTTCCCTCACAATCAGAGAATCTACAGATGCAAAGAGGATCCCACCCATCTGTACAAAAAAAAAAAAAAAAAAAAAGCTGCGGTTTTAAGGTCAAACCTCAGCCATTCTGCCTCGCTGCAGACTTTGGGAATGCATTTAAAATGTTCTGACAGCAGCAACAGCACTGCACTCTGACCTTTCAGGGCCATCTATGCTCAACTGCTCGTCTTGAACAGCTGGAACTGGTTCCAGCAAACCCACTGGTGTGTGTGGAACTTCACTGTGGGTCTGTGTGTGCCAGAGGGAGCCCCGACACATCCTGCACTTCCCACGGATTGCTGGCAGGCAGCTGCTTGTTCCCACTGCTGGCTAACACGGCCAAGACCTCAATTGAAGCATCCACCAGCCCAGGCTGAGCTGCACCAGGCTCATGGCAAACCCAGGAGGATTCCAGACAGCACAAACACCCCGTGCCTCTCTGAGAACGGGCATTTCCTGCAGATTAACACACCCAGTCGGTTTTACACCACCCTGCCCTAAGCCTGATTCGGCTCCTGCAGTTCTGCATCCTTTTAGGAAGTCACAGATTTAGGCACGGCTCAGCAGAGCCCTTGCTGGAGCACCTGAGCCGACTTAACCCCATCACATGCTCCAGCAGCAGCAGCCCAGGAGGGCGTGGGTGAGGAGGGGCTCATTCATCTGCTGCACTTTGATTCATGTCCCGTGTGCTTGACCTGAGAGGAGCCCGCAGGATTAATGAAAATCACATGCTGGGCTCTTTTCCTGGGGCAGGATTTAGTCAGTTTGATTCCTGAATGCTCACTCTGCCATGGCTGCTCCCAGCTCAGCATCTTCCTGCCAGGAAATTTGGGCACTCCCAGATCTCAGGGCAAAGTCAGCTCCAAGTGCTCGTGCTTTGACAAACACCCTTATGGCACTCAAGGTTGTCCATCTAAAATCTGCATATCAATGCCACACAAAAAAATCAGATTTTCCCCTTTAGCTCCTTCTGAGCCAGCACTCTTTCTGTCAATTCAGAATAGAAACCACAGAGGGATTTTCCTTTGACTTCAATGCAGATTGTTTTAGAAACTCTGTTCTGAACATTTTTTGGATTGTGGATTACCATCAACTTCCATCATTTTTTTCCCCCCAAGTAATCATATCAAATTTTAATTTGAAAATAATGTAATGGCAGCCCCGTTTTTGTACACCTCAGTATGGCCTCACATTCCAGCATTGCCCAAATGGAACAGTTTGGGAATGCTGCTTGAAAGGGCTCAGATTGCAGAGTTTGCATGCTGAGCACATGGCATGGAATAAAAGGCAACAAGATATAGATATATTCACAATAAGTCCAGGGAAAACAAAGGGGAGGAAAATAGTAGAGACATTAAACACCAAGACTGAATGCCAGAATGGAATATTCACCATGTTTTTGCACCTTAATAACAGAACTGTCCAGAAGGGAAAGATCAGAATGGTGCCTCATGTTGGACATGGGTTAGTCTGGCCCTGCTGCACAAGGAGGACATGAGGAGGCACAGAGGCTTCTCCTGAAGAACTGAACTGGTTTCACCAATTTGTTGGGAGAGTTAGAGGCCAGGGGAAAATTAATGAGTGGAAAGCAGCCAGGAAAAATCTAGTCCAGTTTATTTACTAGAAACAGCACAAAACAAGCTATTCTATTGACCCTCCACTGCTTCTTGGTGAGATTTATTGTGAGCCATGAGCGAGTTCGACACGAGTCTTGGAAAAAAGTGCATGAATATAAGCACCAAATAAAATGAGCAGCCAAATTCCTGGCTACTCCATCCACTGACCTTAACATTTTTGTTCACTAAGGCTCTTTATTCCAAACAGCAGCTCTGAGAGAACCAAGGCTGCCAGCTCCATTATTGCACAGAACTGCAGGGACAAAGTTAATCCACCTGGATTCGAGTCCTTGGTTTGGGCTGTGGTCACGTCCTGCTCAGTTGTTTGTTGGAACACATTACATCAGCCTGGCTTTAAATGGGATCTTTCCAGCTTAATAGTGGAGAAAAGATCACAGAGAGTGTGTTGTTCAAACACAGCAAGGCTGAGAAAATAGGGGGGTCGGTTGTCTACTCCTACAAACAATGATCTAAATCCTGCAGGGGCTGAACTGAGCAGGATTCCTGCATGATTTCCTGAAAGGAAAAGGACTAGGAGAGTTGTCTGCTACTGAATACCTCTCATCCTCAGTTTCCTTGACCTCTTCATTTTTTTTTTCTGATTTCTGAATATTCTCACTTTTCTATAAGATGGAGAATTTCAGCATCTTCACTTAAAATGTGCTTGAGAGCCACCTGTACTTAATACAGGGACAGGACAAGCTTTAACCTTACTAAAGAGAAAGCTTTTGGATAAATGCAAAGGTATTGCATTACCTGCTGGAGTCTGGGGAACACTGGGCTGCTCAGCTGTGTGGGAGTGTGTCTCCCTTTCTTCTGGCAAGTTCTTGGCTGCAAATACAAAGAAAAATAAACTCATTGGTCACATAATTCGTTAATGCATCTCTAGAAAGGGTTTGCATTTCCAGAGGTGGCATAATCAGTTCCCTGACACACTACACACCTTGAAAGCCCATGCAGGATCTCCAAAGCTTATTACATTTCATGGATTTAATTTTTATCCAGGAGTATTCACTTCAGATCAAACAGTATCACTAATTTTCTCTTCAGTTCATTCTGACTGGTAAAACATGTATTCATGAGAACAGAAAACCAGTTACTTCAAGCTGAAAAGCAGCTGCCCTTATCACTTAACCTGTACTATGAACAGCAAAATCACACAGGGCAAGTTTGGAATCCTCCTCATTTCCCTACCACAGGCACAGAAAATCAACCTGAACGAGGATTTGTAACATTCTAAAACATGACAGAAGAGGGAAGTAAAGGAAACCTACAGTTATTTCAAGCTGAAAAGCCTTTATCACTTAACCAGCTGTACTATGAACAGCAAAATCACACAGAGCAAGTTTGGAATCCTCCTCCTTTCCCTACCACAGGCATGGAAAAATCAACCTGAACAACTTGTGACACTCTAAAACACGACAGGAGAGAGAAGTAAAGGAAACCTACAGTTATTTCAGGCTGAAAAGCAGCTGCCCTTATCACTTAACCAGCTGTACAGCAAAATCACACAGGGCAAATTCGGAATCCTCCTTTCCCTACCACAGGCACGGAAAATCAACCCGAACAGCTTGTGACACTCTAAAACACGACAGGAGAGAGGGAAATAAAGGAAACCTACAGGCAGAGCACTGAGCCATGGGCATCTGCTCTATGCTGGTGTTGTTCCTGCAGGATGCCACCTCCATCTGGCAGTGGTTGGGGTAGATGTGCCCGTCGGAGCCGCACACGGGCTCGCCGTCGTAGCCGCAGTCCCGCGAGCACAGGCACTGCTCCAGGTGCTCGTCCTCCAGGCAGCCCAGGATGGTGTTGCAAGGGCCAGAGTGGACAAAGCCTGGGAATTCAAGCGAGGCAGTCAGTTCTGCTCAGCAAGGGGAAGGGGGGAGTGGGAATGTTCGGCTGCTGTCGGTTTTTGTGTTGAATTCCCTAAGATTTCGAAGGGGGATTTATAAATTTGATAGGATTAAAAGGTGTGGGAATGAAGTTGGCTTTTTGAAAGAGGCATGGTGCAACTGATTCCTGACTTGGGAGAATGCAATAGTTTTGGCCATAGAGCACAGAAAGGAACACAGGGATTCTGGGGAAAGTTATTCCTTTCAGGGATGTACAAAATTGTTCAATCTTCCTACACTTCGTTGTGGAAATCCATTGCAAAATACTGCAGAGAAAGAAAACCAAATCGCATGGCAAAGATTTTTTTACCTCTTTGTTTACTGACACACCTCCCCTTGTGCAGGTTCTTCCAGAATCAAACATTTTATCTTGCCTCTGAAGCAAATCCCAGACCCTTTGGTGCCTGAAGAGCACCACTGCAACCCCCCAACCCTCTGTGAAACTTCCACTAAGGCAGAGAATGAAACACAACGTTTGTCTAAATTTCATTTTGAGTTCAGAACACCAAATGGGTCCCGTTTTTCCAAAAGACCTGTGTGGTTTTGGGCTAACTCACCAACCCACTGGCTGGCTGAGCTTTCCACCTCGTTGCAGGTCGGGCCATCGCAGAGCTCCCGGGCCAGGGGGCTGTTCTCACTCACGTTGTAGAAACGAGTGGCTTCAAAAGCTGCAGCAAGGAGGAGAAATCACAGCTGAGCCTCCTGCCTGCAGCTCTGATGTCAGCTGGGATCAAAGGCAAACAGGCACAAACCTGGCTCGTAGTAATCGTACACTTTGATGGGAACAGGGGCTGTTTTCCCAACTATGTGCTCTCTGAAAGCCTGGAACTTCACACAGGTCATGCACTGGCTGGGAATCTGTGTGAAATGGTGTAAAAGACTCAAAAACTACACTTGAAGAGAAGAGAGAGACAAATGAACACAGCACGTGCCCCAAAGTAACTCAAAGACCCCTCCAATACTCCAAGCACAGGGACAGAGATAATGAATAAAAACCAAGCAGGATGAACTAAACCAGGATGCTCTGCTGACCAAGCCAAGAGAGATCTCACCTTCCACTCTCAGGCCTGTGAAATTTAAATTATTCTGCATTTAGCACTACTAGTTGTACCTCAAAGTGAGATAATTTCAAGGCAAAAAATCTAAGTGATATCTACCCAAAAACAGTCCATGGGCTGAAGTGAATCACCTGCCTCTATTATACTTTAGTTTTCAAGTAAAAGCACAACACCCACCTGCAGCAAAAGAGGCTCAAGCAAAGATCCCCAACATTCTGCCTGTGCCTCGTCCCCTGGTCATTTGTCTTTCATTAAAATCCAACATAATTATAAGAAACAAAGCCATTACCTCATCAAAATAAAATAGGACTTTTCTTCCATCCACTTCATATCTTTTTAACCCAATTTGTTTGTTCATCAATAACTGGGGGTAAAAAAAAAATAATTAGAAATCATCATGTTTAGCTTAATCTCATTTTATAGCCAACAGGTAGAAATGAGAGAATAAATAAGATTTCAGGCTGCTTAAAAATTGATCAGACACTCAACTCCATGGATTTCTTCTTCTGGAAAGGGTGCTTCCATAAGAGAGGGAAAATGCAAAGAGATTGAAGTTGCTGTCACATGAGAGAGGGGGAAAAGCCACCCGTGTCCTTCCCTGTGTCCTGCTGAGGAATTCCTGCCAGGTGCATCAGCTGAGGGCTCCTCCTGCTCCCCAGGGCATTCATCCCCTGGGACTCTGCTCCTGCCTCGTCCATAATCTCATGGAGCAGCTCCCAGATTGTTTTCAGTGCCAAGGCTCCAGCAAGACCTCAGAGATCCCAAAGCACTCCATGAATTCTCTTATTTACCCCCTCAGACCACCAGGGAATCTCCCTGCTGGACTGGGTATTGAAGGTCCCCTCCTCCCAGCAGCTGAAAAATCCAAAACATTCTTCTGCCAGGAAAATTAATCCACACATTTGAAAAGAGCAGCCATTTGAAAGAGCCCCAGGCACTCTCCCTTTTGACAAATGGGGTCAGGCCAGGCTCTGCTCCTCATCTTCTCCCCCTTCCAGCCCAGGGATTTGGGGTTTGGGGTTTGAATTGTACCAGGCAGGGCTACAGAGTCACCTCTCTGCTTTTTATCTGCACGTCTAAGGAACATCTGAACAGCATCTAAGGGCACTTCCCACATCTCCAAACCTTGCTTTGCAATTTTCCAAAAGTTCCTCCTTTGTGATTTCTGCACTTGGAACATCTCAATACCGTGCCTGTCCTGCCTGATCAAGCATTACTATTTTGATAATTTGTATTTGGAATGCATCTGTCCTGTGGAAAATATCTAATACTGAAGCTGGGCAGGTGAGGGTTTGTGGAAAAGGACTTTTGGGTTTTAATCAAAGTTTGGGGAGCCAAGATGGGGCCAGAGCACTCTATTCTATAATTCTATTCTCCAAACTGCCCCATTACTTTAACCTCTGTCAGACAATCCCATTTGTAACGTAGGGATATTCTTGTGGGGTTTTTTTTATGGTTTTTAATATTCTTAAGTTACTTTGAGATAGCAGGGTAAAATCTCTGTGGAAAAGGGAACAAATTATTATTATCACTACTATTATTTAGAATGAATTATTTAGAATTAATGATTTAGAATGATTATAATTATTATTTAGAATGACATGAAACAAGCAGCATTCCCACTGAATTTTCCCAAACCTGCCACCAGCATCTTCAGCTGTGACTGCTCAGCTGAGAGCTCCTCCTTGTAAAACCCTGCCCCTGCCATTCCTGTAACAAGCCAAGCAACGCGTGTTTAAGTCCCACACAATATGGAAAGGGCCAATTTAATTTCTCCCTATACTTTTAGGGGCCGGTGGTGGCTGTTGTTATTCACACAGTGATTTTATGAGAGCTGGGAGACGCCGGCGCCCCCGGGAGCTGCTCAGCCCAGCCCAGCTCAGCCCAGCCCAGCCCAGCCCAGCTCAGCTCAGCTCAGCTCAATCTGCATTTTTTCTGGTGAGGTTTGATATATCCCAGCCCGGGGTGACCTCCTGACCCTGTCGACATCCAGCATTATTAGGGGGATTTGTGGCCGGGCTGCCCGGGGTGTGCACAGAGCTCTCATTAAGCAGCACTGCCCTGGGGGCTGCTCCAGCCTGGGACAGGGAAAATCCTAATTTACAGCCCAGCCCCTGCACTGCAGGGCAGGGAATGGCTGGGGTGGCAGGGAAAAGGCAGCAGGGACAAGGATGGACCTGCCTCTGCTCAAGGTGGTGTCAAAAAAACACGGGGAAACTTCAGTGGGGGAATTTCATGTTGGGCCCATGAAGAAATCCCAGAATGGTTTGGGTTGGGAGGGACCTTAAAGCCCTGGGTGTGCTCTGGGCAGGGGAGCACTGAGAAGAATTGGGAATAAATGATTAACAGGAGGATGTGCTGTCTGCAAGGGGGACACTGATGCTGGTACCACAGTGAACCGGCTGTGTGATGTCTCAAAACATTTCTGTTTGCAGTAGATCCCACAATGGTTTGGGGTGGAAGGGACCCTAAAGCCCACCCAGTGCCACCCCTGCCATGGCAGGGACACCTCCCACTGTCCCAGGCTGCTCCAATCCCAATGTCTAACCTGGCCTGGGACACTGCCAGGGATCCAGGGGCAGCCACAGCTGCTCTGGGCACCCTGTGCCAGGGCCTGCCCAACCTCCCAGGGAACAATTCCTGCCCAATATCCCATCCAGCCCTGCCCTCTGGCAGTGGAAGCCATTCCCTGTGTCCTATCCCTCCATGCCTTGGCCCCAGTCCCTCTCCAGCTCTCCTGGAGCCCCTTTAGTCTCTGGAAGGGGCTCTGAGGCTGCCCCAGCAGAGGTGGATCTGCACTGCCCTTCCACTGCCTGTCTAGAGATGTGCTTGAGCTTTTGTCACCACAAAAAATGTCACCATATTTCATTTTTGAGATGCAAAAGGGTTTCTCCAATTAAAAGCCATGGAATCCAGCTCTTCAAGGGGAACGTTTCCTCTTGAAGATGCAAAATCTTTCCCAGTTTAGGAAAATCTCCTTCTTTCCAAAGGAAGCAATCCTGATCTGGTTATGGGAACAGCAGAGCCTTCTGGGCTCACTCACTTATGACAGAAATTCTTGGCTGTGAGGCCCTGGCACAGGGTGTCCCTGGATCCCTGGCAGTGTCCCAGGCCAGGTTGGACATTGGGGTTGGAGCAGCCTGGGACAGTGGGAGGTGTCCCTGCCATGGCAGGGGTGGCACTGGGTGGGCTTTAAGGTCCCTTCCACCCCAAACCATTGTGGGATCTACTGCAAACAGAAATGTTTTGAGACATCACACAGCCGGTTCACTGTGGTACCAGCATCAGTGTCCCCCTTGCAGACAGCACATCCTCCTGTTAATCATTTATTCCCAATTCTTCTCAGTGCTCCCCTGCCCAGAGCACTCCCTGAGCACGGGCAGGGCACAGAGCCCAGCAGGAGCCTGTGAGCAGCCAAGGGCACACAAACAGATCCTGTGAGCAGCCAAGGGCACACAAACAGATCCTGTGAGCAGCCAAGGGCACACAAACAGAGCCTGTGAGCTGCCAGACCCTGCCTGGGGACACCCGAGTGTCACAGCCCCAGGGCACAGCCCCAGGGCACAGCACGGCTCTGGCAAAGGGGAAAGTGCTCAGGGTCAGTAACACCAGGAACCCTCAGCTCTGTCCCCTGCTGACATCAGGAAAGGAGACATTCACCCAAATTTGTTGTTTCTTCTTCGTTCACTGCAGAGAAAAAAATCCCCCAAACTAAACCAAAACAACAACAGCAAAAAACCAACCAAAAAAACCCAAAACACCGCAATGAAACAAAAAACCAAACCAAACAACACCACAAAACCAGGGATCTGTTCCTTAAGACCTTTCCTGTTCTTCTGCAGTGAAAACCCCTCCATGCTCTTTCCTTCAACCCTTTCCCTCTGCTCATAGAACATTCCATAGCTTTATCACCATAAAGACATCCTGCTCTTCTCCTCCTGGGACATTTTGAGCTCTCTCTGGTTCTAAGCCAGGTTCTCATCCATATTTTTTCTGCTGTTATTTCCATGAATGACTCTGAAGAGAATGTATTTGACAGCACTACATGTGACCATCACTGCAGCAGAGGAGGGAGAGCAGGAACCAACCTCACTGCAGGCCCCTCACCTGAATTTTCTCCTTTCTTTTCCCATGGGGATGCTGCAGGACTCCTGCTCCTGGCCTTGCCCCACCTCAACAGCCACATTCAGTTTGATATTCAGAGAATATCAGACTCACAGGCACATAAAATCCAATCCATTTTACATGCTTGGATTTGAAAATAGATTTCTCCACGTGCAGCTTGTGAGTGGATATAAATAACTTCAGTTTTTTCTCTTTATAGGAATAATTTCCTATCTGATCCCCTGTTCTGAAAGGATGCAATTGCTTCTCAGGGATTGATACAAAAGTTCCTTTGGCTTCAGGGACACCCCAGGAGCCATCTGACAGCAGCTTCTGACATGGATTGTAAACCTCTCCAGAGGGCTTTTTCCTCCAAGAAAATGTAATGGTGGTTCAATTATAAATCAGCCAAATCAAATTAAATCCTAGAGAAGATAGAGCAATGTGCACTCCTCCTTGAATTATGATATCAAATTAAACTTCACAATGGTTCTACTTTAAGAGTCTTTCCTCAGATCCCCTCCCTTCCCAATATATTGAGATAAAGTTATTAACAGGGCTTTTAGAAGCAAAGTATTTTTTAGCTCTTTACCAGCTCACAAGGATGCAAAAATTCTACACCTCTTCAGTTAAACAGTCCTTAAAAAAAATGTTTTCAGCACAAGAACCCCAGCAGTGAATGCAATGTTCCACAAAATGTAATGAGTTGTGATGAATGCAATGCTCCCCCAAATACAAAGCAAAGCTCAGGATTAGAGTTCATCTGCCCTGAAGGGCTGGCTGGGCACGAGGCACATTCTGTCCACCTCAGCTTGGCTGCAAAAACACGATGTTCTCCCAGAGAGAGGGGGGGAAAAAAAAAGGGCAAAAAATTCCAAGACACAGAGCCTCCAAAGAAATGGGATCCAGATGTTGGAGATAACACAGCCCACTGAGCAGCCATAAACAGCTCCTGTTAGAGCACATTTGCACCTCAGCTCTTGCAGAGGGTCTCAGTTCATTACTGTGCACTGGCTCAGGAAAACCTTGGGGTGGGTTTGCTCAGAACATCTGCTCCCTCATTTCAGAGAGGGATTTTTTTGACAAGTGAAATCTCTTCCTCCCCCTTCCCAATTTTAATTGCATCTTTTCAGCAGTGCTCTGACACCCAATGGCCTCCTCCTGCCCCTGGAAGGGAACTCCTCCCAGTTAGAGATCCCCATCCCATCCCAATCCCATCCCAATCCCATCCCATCCCATCCCATCCCAACCCAATCCCATCCCATCCCCTTCCCTTACCTGCTCCAGGCTCTCAATATCTGCCCGAAACCCTGAGAACAAAGGCACTTCCAACACTGCCATGTTTGAGGATCCAGAGTGCAGCCATCTCCCCATGGGAACAAAAACAGAGAAAATGGGAACAAACTCAACATCCAAGACAACAAATGGACAACTCAGAATGGAGAAACCAACTCCAGAAGAAAAAAAAAGGCTAAAAAATTATATTAAAAGGCTGTCCTCATTGAAGTGCTTGTGGAAAGCCAGTTTATTTTGTTTTTAAGAATCCTTTTTTCTGCTTTTATTTAACAAAATTATGCCCAGCTCACAGAGGGTAGGAGATGTCCTGGAACAGAGAGGCAGAAAAGCAGAGGGATGCAGCTGCCTGTGGGGCTGCTTGCTTTCTTTTTCAATTAATTACTGAGAAAATGCACTTGGTAAAAGGAAATAAACCCTTGGAGTAGAAGAAATTTCTGTCCCACCTTGAGAGGAGGGTGTAGATGGACTGTGGTGGGAGAGGGATCCCAACACCAGGCAAGGCCACTCAGCCCTGGGGTTTCACAAATGGCTCTTTCAGCCCTGACACTGAGAAAAGGACATTTGCAAACGAGTCAGCAAAGTCACTGCCTCGCTGGTGTTGGAGTTCACTGCCTGTGTCATCCTCTAGAGTACAACTGAAAACTCAGAAAACCCTCTGAAACTGAGTGTGCACAAAAACCCCCCAGGCAGGAAGGTGTGGAGAGGAAATCCGCGGGGCCATTGCTAAAATCTCGATTTTTGCAGCACGGCAGAGGAGTCTCCATCCTGATGGTGCTCCTGGAAGCCCAGGACAAGGCTCCTTTTCTCTGCACTGCCAGCAGCTCCCAGCCCTCCCTCCCTGGCACCTCTCACCTGTTTGCTGTGCCCAGCACTGACAGAACACATTTCCACAGCTCCCAGCACCAAAATCTGCCAGCTCTGAGCTGGCTCCTGCAGGGCCCCTCAGCTCAGGGCTGGGAGCTGGCGAGGCTGGGCTGCCACTCCCCAGCCCAAGGCTCACAGTAGCATGAGGTGGCCTGGGGACAGAGCCAGCTCTGGGTGAGGCACTCCAGGGCTCCCAGAGACCTCGTTAATTAAAGCTCCTTAATTCCCATCTCACTCCATGCTCCACACTCCCCAATAAATCCTACAGGATCCCTTTGCCTGCGTTTCCCCACTCTCTGTTATTTATCACAGCTTTCTGTTTCCCAGCCCGTGTTCTCCCTAAGCCTTCAGAAGTGCCCCAGGGATGTCACTGGGCATGACAACACTTCATTACATTCCGAGAACACCCCCAGCCCAAAATATCTCAGTTGTCATCCTGAGCTGCACTCCTCTCTCACACTGCCCGAGCAGGATGATGATGATGGAGCTGAGAGCATCATTACAGGAAGAAGGGGAGGAAAGGAAGATTTCATTTGCTTTTGTTTCCTTTCCAAGCAATCCATCTCCTTGCACTGGGCTTCCTCTCAAATTTCTGTCTCAGCTCCAGCAATTCCCAGGGCAGAAGTTTTCAGAACTATCAGCAGAGAGGTTGTGCTGAGGCAGGGCAGCCTCCCCAGCATCTGACAAGGCTGTAGGATTTTATCCTCTGCCTAAAACAGGCTGAGGGCTTGGGCAGGGGGAGGAGAGCTTGGCACAGTGACATTTTGGGCAGTGCCTGTGACACAGCACAGCCCCATGGGCCAGCGGCAAAACAAGATCCCACCTTGTGTGGGGCACTGCAGCTCTGCTCAGCTCTGCACGGAGGGAGGGGACAGAAATTTTGATAGGGGAGCCAGAGTTTCCCATTAAACTCTGACAGGGCAGCCAAAATTTTCCATTTCCATCCGAGGCACTCACTGGATTTCTCCTGTGGGAGGTCAGTGAGGCAGCAGCCCCCAGCCATGCTCCCAGTCACAAACATACAAATTGGTTATGAATTTCTTGAGAATGGTTTCTCCTTTGCACAGCAGGATGCTGTGAGCCCTCTTTATTTACTCTGGTTGTGGCTTTATCTCTCCTGGGTCTCCAATTCCCAACAACCTCCCTAAAAATCCAAATGCTTTATAAAAAGATCAGCAACCCCTGATGACTGCAGCAGTACCAAGGTGTTTAAGCAAAACTTGTAAGTGAATTTAATACAGGTCAGAAACTATTCTTGCTGCTGTTTGTAGCCAAGCTGTTTTCTCACAATAACTTGAGTTTTCCAATCTATAAAATGAGACAGAACTGCTCATGTCTCTGTAAAGTGCTTTGAGAGATAGAAATGAAACTTCTGGATCATGCCACTTAAAAAAGTTATGTTACATTTCATTATATGGAGTAAGGAGATAAGGAATTTGAGAGCTGATAAATATCTGCATGTATTGTGCCTTTACCACAGATTCCAAATTCATACCACGGCAAGAAGCATCTTCTGTTTTGGTATCCAAAACTGAACCACTAAGGAGCTCAAATAATAAAGTCAAGTCAGTAATGTCTGTAAAACCATAGATATAATTAAGGTATTAGTTAACCAGTTGAATTTACCTTGCTCTTTGAGGCTTTTAAGAAAACAATCCAGAACTTTTTCTTTTCATCCTTATACAAACAAATCACATCACATTTGTCATTTTCAGGGTTCAGAGAGGCAATAATGAAACTCAGTGATAAAACTTCAAGGTGCTCTAATTTCTCTTGCTTTAACACACACTCAGCACTGAAATGATCAAGAATGTTCTTGGAGTGGCTCTGTCCTACAAGCCACTGACAGTTCTGCCTTACCCTGCTGAGTGCAGCCAGAGACAAGTCGGTGTTTCCCTGGCTCAGGGGGGCTGAGCAGCAAACCCAGCGTTCCGTGGGCTGCAGGGAGCATTCCCTACCTGGTGCAGGTCTCCAGGATCACTTTGTACTCCCGGTGGTCCTGGTCTGAGGCAGGGTCCTCGTCGTCCCCCAGGGCCCTGTCCCTGTGCAGGGCTGGGGGGCTCAGGTGGGCAGAGCCCAGCGGGGCTGGGGCTGCCAGGGGCTGCTCTGCCTTGGGCTCCTTCAGGTTCACCAGCAGCTGGAAGGCTGGCTTGGCAATGGGGTCGGGGACATTGTAAGTGACATCGATCTGCAGCGGGAAGAGGGAGAAGCAAAGCACAGCAGGGTCACAGCTCCAGTGTTCCAAAGGGTCCCCAATTTTCCTTTAGGGATCAGCACAGACACAAGATCCCTTCAGAGTTGGGGAATGGCAGGCACAGACACAACAGAGGCTTTACCACACAGTTATGTCTCTAGAGAAACTCTACCAGAGCTGGTACAGTCACATTCACTTCCTAAATCAAAGCAACACCACGTTGTAGAACTATTTTGAGAGAAATTCCAAGTGTAAGTCCTTCCCCACAGCAAAGTGGGATTACAGAAGCAGAAAACAGGCTGTGAGGTTAGAGATCAACTGCTCCCATGCTTTCTCCAGCCTTACCTGCATCAGGCAGCAGCCTTCCCCTTTGGCACTCACAAACAGCCCTGTTGGAATACTGGGGATCTGGGGAGAATGCACAGGGAGACACAGACAAGACATGGCACTCAGAATGGAAATGAATATTAAATGTAGCTCTATTCTGTACAAAATACCTTTATAAAGGACACTGCAGAAGTGAAGTGAGTGTGGCTGAGTCTCTTCACCACCTGCACTTACAATGGCAGAGAGAAACAGCAGCACAAAAGAAACATCAGGCATTGGTCATGGTGAAAAATGCCTTTAATCAGGAGTGCTGTCTCCTTCACAGCAAATCCAGCCACCAACCCACAGAAAGTCCCACAGGTCTCAGTGCTTAACTTGTGCTTTTACCATCACTGATCCAAGCCCTCATTCAGAACCCAGCTCGTGTGGACTGCTTTAAAAATCTGCCTGCACAAAACCACCTACCACTGCAGTCTGAAGGACTTTTTTATTCATCTTGTTAAGCTCAAAGGTCTCCTGGTAGTCCAGGTTAGTAGAAGCCAAGGAAATGGTCAGGTTGACTCCTCCAACATAAGAAAGGATGGCATATTCAGCCAGAGCCTGCAGGGCCACACAGGTGTCCTGGGAAGAGGACACAAGAGGGAGAAATCAGAGCAGTGAAGGATGCAGGAGCACAGCAAACTTCCAAACAGCTCTGCTCAGCTCCGGGTGGCAGAACCTTCCTTATTAATTCAGATGGCAAGAGAAACATCAGGTTTGGCTCATTTTTCCTATCAGAGGCACCCGTGAGGACAAAGGCTGGGCTCCTTTCAAATTACCAGTCCAAGGAGGAAGCAGAAAAGAGAGCTGGGAAGTTTTTCTCCTTACCAGAACACAAACAATTTGTGCCAGGAAGATGGAAACTCCACATTCCTGAATCAATTGCCAATGCATGCATCCCAGCTTCCTTTCCCAGAGGCAGCCCACCTGAGTAGATGAGAATCCTCCCAGTGCATTCCTCTGCTGTGAGAGCCACTTGACCACAGGCAGTGCAGAGGCCACATCTCCCAGGAGTGTGTAGGTCAGAAGGGCATAAGATGTCATTTCCACTTCTGCAGAAACAACTGAAAGAGGGGTGAATGTAAAAAAAAAAATCAAAATATCACCTAAAAGTGACAATCCGAGCATGTCTAGAGATAGTTCTGTACTTATTAACTGAAGAATAATTCTAAGAAGTTTAGAATCTGTAGAAGTAAACATAGGAAAAGAGAAGTTAAAATATCTGCACCCAAGGTGCTTCAACTCCCTAAGATAACTGCTTTTAACATAAAAATCAATAATAAAGATATTCACACAATAGATAAACTCCTTCTACTTGACTCTATCCCACAAGTAATTCCTCCCCCACTCCAGTTCTACTCGGCTGCTGCCCACTCTGCTGTCCTGCCCTGGAGATTTTCATACAATATCCACTCAGATCCCTCCTGAACATTGCTGCACTTACATCATATCCAAAGAATTAATGGCTTTAAGTGGCTTGAAAATCACAATCATTCACTGCTTCTGTGGCTTTGACAGCCAAAGTCTAGAAAAATCAGCTGAAGTGTCAGTGACTGGTGATACAATGCTTTGGTCCATTTGAAAACACAAAGATAAATAGTTCTAAAGTTCAAATATATTTGAATTCCTTCAGATTTCCATTTTGAATTATTACTCCCTGACAGAAGAGTGAGAGCCATGTGGGATTCTGTCTTTATAGAACTGGAGTGAAAGCTGATGAGACAGCTGGGGCTGAAAATCCTGTCCTGTCAGGACCACATCTTGCTCTGTGTCTCATTTATTCTTTCAGCAGAATGTTACCTGCCTTTCCTGAGCTCTCTTTTCTCTGGACCATGCCCTGAGTGACAATTTTAGAATACTTAGTATATTATAAACAATTCACTGCAATATGTGCAGGCTGGTGTGGCAGCCCCTTCCCTTTTCTCTGCAGGTTCCCAATTACCTGATTGAGAGAGCCCATCATTAAATCCCATGAAGGTGTCTTCATCAGTGACAAGGGTCCCTGTGAGGCTCCAGTGTGTGAAGCCATCTAGGAGAGGGCAGAGGGACATGGGTGTTATCAGAGTTATTATAATTCCTGTAGAGTTATAGGAGTGCAGCTGAGCCTCTGTGCATGGGAAGAGTCCAATTCCATTTTTGCATTGGCTCAGGGCCCTGAGCTGCACTGTCCCTCCTTTTGGACACCCAGTCCCTGGGCAAGGGGCTCCCTTTGGAGTGACCAAGATGATTCAGTGTGACAAACTGGCTAATTTTGGGGTTTTGGATTAAAACACACCATCAGGGAATGTGAGGTGTTATACAGCAAACTCTGTCACTGCCAGGAGAGCACTGCAGAGCCCCTGAACAGCCTGAAATCACCCTACAGGTTAGAGAACAGTGCTGCTGAACACCAGGGCTGTGGCTCTGATCTCTGTGTGGGCCATTCACTTAGGAGCTGGTCCCTGGTAATTCAGGATATTCTGAGATTCTGCTGCACTTCCTTCCTCCACATCAGCACACGTGGAGCCCTCTCCAAAGAGAAGCAGGAGCAGCTTTGCCTTAGAAACCCAAACTGTGCCACGAGCAATCCCTCACCCCCCAGCCCCAGCCTCTCCAGCAGCTCAAACACAGCTCCAGGCTGTGCTTGGCTGC